GGGCGCTGAAGGCCCGAGCTTCGCACGTGCCGCCGGGGCAGAGCGCCCCTACGGTACCGGGGAGCCCAGGTCGGGGGTTTCCAACCAGCCGGAGCCCCAGGATGGCAGCGGCCGCCCCAGGGTTGGGAGCAGCTCCCTCCCCGCTTCTCCAGGGGAAGAGGCTGAAGTTGGCGGTTTAAAATATTTTTTGGCAAAAAAAAAAAAAATCACTGAGAAATTATTTCTAATTATTAAACATAAATACTGCTGCTTCGTTCTGGTTTTTCTGGGCAATTCAGGGGACATGCGTCCTGTCCTCATTCATGTGGGCACCATAATTAGATAAATGCCGGATCTCTGAACAAGCTGCTCCCAATTTACAACATGACATTGCCTCAAAGGCAGACACTATACAGCAACTATAAAATTAATTTTTCACTTCCACTACATTTTTTTTTTAGTCAAAGTCCACTTGCTCCCCGGCTCCAGCTGACCCTCGGCCTTTCCGCTGTCCCGCCCGGGCAGCGCTGCCACCGCAGCCATTTCCCTTCCCGCCATCCGGCAGGTTCCCAGCCCGACGCCCGTCCCTCACCACCACCGCTCTCGGAGCCGACGGACCGCAGGGCAACGGGCTGCTAAGGAACAGAGTCCACCTACGTCCGGGAAAAGGCTTCGGTGGCGGGGCGGGAGGCGTTCCACGCGCTGGTTTAAGTCCTCTTCATCGAACGAGTATCACGGCGAAAACAAAGGACAGACCCAGACCTGGCTGAACAAAGCCAGAGTCATCTCCAGGCTCTCTCCTCGTGCCCTGCCAGACAGCTGCCCTGGTTCCAAAGCCTCACAAAAATCCCTCTGTCACCATCTGGAGGCCCAAAGGTTATTAAGTATTTATTATAATTTGTTTCTAGATGGTTTCTCTACATAGCCGTATTAACATATACTAACACAGTTATCTTATATACAGTGTTTAATCAAGTTATAAAAGTGACATTCTTTCAAAAGGTGCAAAGTTATTAATGTTTTGTCACGTAAACTACTGAGGCGAGATCTGCATCGAAAATAAAACTTTTTCACTTTCAGAGCAATCGAAATGCGGCATCAGGAGTCCCATGGCCAGCCAAGCATAGACGTGTCAGCACTGAGGGGAAAGTATCTTGTAAGTGTGGTCAATGAAGAACCATAAATTAGATGAACGAATTTGGAACTAATATGAAGTGTCACTACAAATTTTACACTGGAGGAAGGGGAGAAGGGGGTAAAGACGTAACTAATGAAGCGTTCTTACTTTAGAAATCTTCCCAGTTTCTTTTTAAATCCCATGAAGATTCTACACTGAAGGTTGGATTAAACACATTGTTACGAATTTTTTCATGCTTTCACATAATGACAAGGCTTTAGGTCTTTGAATTTCAATCACGACTTAAGACGAGAGGGAGGCTAACCCGTACACTTCTGATAAACAGAGTATTTCTTTAGCAATTACTCTACAGTTTTTCCATTCAGGCAATTCCTATTTATATGTATTGTTTTAAACACACTACTCCAGCATTAAACATACTGTTTAGCTTAAGCAAGTTTTAAATTCCCAGGAGATGTTAATCCTTTCAATCCTCACCTAACAAAGGGTTCCCTATGCTGCTTACAGCATGTTTGGAAAGCGGGTTACTTTTTTATAAAAAGTATTTTTATGCTGTCCCATATGGATCAGCAATGTCTCTTTAAAAGCCAAGTGTCCGTGCACTTCCTAGGAACACACACAACGCTCCTGTCTGTGCCGTGTCACCAAGCCCAGCCCATCAGTCCCAAAGACTTGCCATCAACACCAACTACAAGTTCTGGCAACGGAATGAAGTCGCCGTGAGCACGTTTCAGATCAGACCCTTACTTACTGCCTTAAAGTTTTACAGCTTCTTATTTTTCCACTGAAGACTACAACTAAATTTCCCCAAAATTTAAAGTTCATCCAATCATCAGATGCATCATTTGATACAAAAATGTTTCTCCAGCAGTATGTTAATTTTCTTTTGCTTTTTCATCCTGTGGCTGGGAGAGATGCACTTCACAAATGTACTCTCTGGATGAAACCACAGATGTTTTTGGACATCAATGAGACCAGTTCTTCCATCAGCTCCTCAAGCTGCTGGTGGTTTAACACCAGCAACTTCTGAATTCCTGTAAACTTCATAGCAGTGCAGCTGCTCTCCATTTTTGCCTGGCTACTCAATTAAAAGCTTTCATAAAAGAAAAAGCAACATTAGGATTAATTACTGGACCTAATTTTTCAAGCCTTTCTCCCCCCTTACCCCCCCGAAGTGTACCACTTGAAAGAAAAATGAATGCATCAATTCAGTAATTGATTATTTTCAGTATTATATGGCTTTGACAGTTTGATAAGGAACAACAAAAAAAAAATCCCACTTTTTGACATCACGTGCTCACAGAAAACTTGTAATAGGTGTAACTCTGCCAAAGCTTTAAATTGATTCTGCTTTTTCACAACGTACAAACCAGACATGACCTAATAATGAAAGACATGCAAACCAAAACCTCCCCAAAATATGAACTCGTGTGGATATACATACCAAAGTGCTTCCAAAGAAAAGTTCAGTCTAGAAGCATACATAGTGCCAAAGCTGCCAAAGGTAGTGCAGAAGATTGAAGCCTCCAAGTGGTAGCAAGCAATATATTTTACATTGTAACCACCTCTACGTTCCTGCAATTGCTTCTGAAACTTCTCAGGTTTTAGCAACAGCGTTTGACTTCAGAAAAAGCACATTTTTTTTAATGCACCCTTCCCTTCTAACGTACGCTTTATGTATACATTTAATGCTCACAGTGTCCAAAAGGTGTGAAGACTCTGTAACAGACACCTACAGTCTGAGGAGCTCAGGTTGGGGTTTGTTTCCCCCGAGTCTCTCGATTATTGAATCGCATTGAGAGAGGGGGGGCCCGGAGCTCCAGTCCCCACGTAGTGCTACATACCATGGAGTTCACATGCATCTCTGCCCGGGGAGCATCGCCAGGACTAGATTGGATCCTCTTGGTACCACGTTAGCTTTTCATCCCTGCTCAGAGTTCCAAAAACTTCAGATTCTTCACTATTGTACTAAGTAACAAGGATATTATCTCTATTTTATTTAAGTTACGTAGTTTTCAAGGATGTTATGTGCTCTACCGGATACAGCATATCTTCCTGACAAAGAAACTAGGGGGAAAAAAATGAAGAACCAAAGGTCCCTTTGAAAATTAGTGAAAATATGATGATTTCAGGTGCAGCTTTATGGAAAGAATGCAACAGTATTTAAATATTTGGCAATCCAACATTAGTGATAATGAAATCCTTGATTGTTGACTGATAGAATTTTTGTTAAAATTTACTTAGAAAAGCTGGTTTTTGCTATCGACAAAACCAGAGCAACTGGCTTGGAATGAAATCTAGTAACTAGATGTCCAGATGAGATGAGCAATCGGTTCTGTAATTTCAGTAAATGTCTGGACAGTCTGAGAAATTTCTATCAAAATAGCCACCTGAGTACAGCCAATCTGAAGTCCCAGTGTATGGGTTAGTGCCTTGATGAAACCATCTGTAAAAAACAAAACAAAACAAAACGAAAAAGAAAAAGGAAAGAAACAACAAAAGAAAAAAAGCAAACAAACAGAGTGAACAGTTATTAATAGGGGAAAAGAAAATTTGCTTCTTTCACAAAACATTGTAAAAACACCCTGGCATTTCTTACCAGAAAAAAAATTCTCAGGAAATATTCTGAATGTGAAAAAATAAGGCATTAAACTTCCTACATAATTATCACCACCTTGTAAAGCATCTTTTTTAATTTATTTTTTTTTTTACATAAAGTCAAGAAGGACTATGAAACGGACTTTTAAATTGCTGTCCTATTCCAAATAAAGATAACATTGATACTCTAGATGATATATTGATTATATATATTAATTTTTACTTTCAAAGAATGCCAAATCAGTTACACAATCCTTTTTGTAAACCTGTCCAAACAGGAATCAGTTTTGTTCTGTGGAGCTGCACTCTGCCCAGAACGTTAACAGATGCTCACTTTTTAGCCACGTTGACTGAAAACAATTGTATGTTCCCTGGAAGAGATTTTCAAAGGCATTAACTGGCATTAGCCTGTAGCTGCTCCTCCAGGCTTTCAGAAAAGAATGCTTTCTCTTCGGAATTTCATGAAATCATGGGAGCATCCCCAAGTTCTTGCCTTTGAAGGAAGCACCTGCAGTAACTGGCCGTGAGGGTACACTTGACTGCACAGCACTGGCTTCTGTGAAAAGCAACCAGCAGGAGCAGCAGCCAAATCACACGTTACTCCGTGGTGCATTCTGTGACTGAGCAGTCACTCGAATATTCCATCAACAAAACACTTTCTGAAGCAGCCAAGCCAAGAAGTCCCAAGAGCGTGAAAATAAAAGGCCCTAGAGGGCCACAACGTCTTACTCAACTGCCAAAAGCTGGACAGGAATTGGTTAAAGGAGAGATGAGACTTAACATTTTATTCTTTCTGACAAAACCCACCTCTGTAGGTTTAAAAAACAAAACCCGAAAGAATCCAGCGTTACCACAGTGGTTAATTATGACAGGTTTCAGCATTTATTATTAGCTAATTTCTCCAGGACAAGTTATCAGCAATTTTGGCTTCCAACTACCGTACTTCACTGCTGACCCAGCAGATGCTTTAAGTGACACTACCCATTGTGCCGTCATGCAGGCAATCAGACACACACTGTCCTGACTAAAAACTTTTCAAGCAATGTACCGAACCGCTCCAAGGAGCGAACGCACGCCCAGCTTCCTTCCCCCTTACCGTGTGTGCCATTCCACTTCATCTTTCGCACGTTCCTTGCGAGCAGCTCTTTGTTTCTCTTCTAGTCTCTCTTTTTCTTTGCTAGCCACATCTACCAAACATTTCAAGAGAAATCGGTTACTTAGCAAACGAGAAACAAAAATGCAGAAAACACAGAAAAGACCACAGAGAAATAAAGCATAGTTCATTTAAGCAAGAGAAAGCATTTGCTGTACACAATCTCACTGAACAATATAAAACCTCAGGCAAGGAAAAACTAAAACTGTCATTTCAGAGAAGTGGCTACTACAAACATGGAGTCGACACTGAAATGTCAGTGTTTTATCTATCAGAAACACCACACCGAGACAGCAGGGAAGGACTAAGATTAGGCATAACAGAGTGATTTTTTTCACTATTGGCCACGTGTTTCTTCTGACAAACGCCAGAGCCACAGAGCATGTCTGTTCACCACATGTCTGTCCAGACAAACTCCAGAGCAGGAGAGCATGTCTGCCAGTTCCCTCCAGGTTAACAAACATGCAAATACGCCATAACGTGGCAAAGCAGCCTTGGGATCCACCTTGGACACGTTTGCCCTGCCAGACTTTTCTGGGAGAAAACAGACATCCTATGCTGTTCAAAGGCACGTTCGTTAGCACAGGACAGAAAGCGTTAAGGCTGCTCTGGGAATGAGAAGCTGAAGACAGCGTTCTTGCATCAACAGCCTCCCTTCAGTCATCCCTCTCAAAACTTACTAATGGGAAAATATTTCCTGCAGCAAACACATACCCATGTTTCCGTTTTCCATATTTCTGATATCTGGACGTAGCCGACAGTCAGTGGGAGCTAATATTGCTTCCATGCCCTTTTCTAGCTCATTGAGACTCACAGCAAAACTGGTGAAATTGTACATCTTAAAAGCAAATTAAAGATAACATACAAGTTATTTTGGCAAAGTGGTACTGGGTTTCCTGTACCGAATGGATACAACAGAACTTCCAAGAGAAATTACCGAGTCACCTTTCTCCCACGGGCTACCCTGAAAGCAAGGTTAGGTTCATACAAAACTAGTTTTTTTGGTTGGAAGGGAGGAACAAGAAAGGGTAGAAATGGGGATGGAAATCACAGCTTTCATTTTTGAAGCAGTGTTTGCTTCAGAGGATCAAGAGAGATTTTCCTCCATATCTAATATTTAACATCATGATTTTTATTAAAAAAAAAAAAAACCCACACAAACAACAAACACCCACACCTAAAGACCAAAAAATCTTGTTGAAACTACTGAAGTTAACATCCAGCTGCCCAGTTACCGCCTTTTTGGAAGCCTGTCTTTAAAAGCAGGGTCAGCAGACGGGAACACGCACCCGTATTTTAGCCACTCGCAGACAGGTTAACCTCAGACCCCAGGCTCACGCTGAGGCAGCTCGGTCAGAACACGCATTGTCAGTCAGAGCACGCATTCTTCCTACCACCTGCGACACAGCAGTGATGCCTGCAGCACAGGAACGAAGCAAACGGCTTGCTGTAGTGTCATTTAACTGCTGCAGCACCAACGGCCAGAGCCTGCCAGCACGCACGCTAAGGACAGACACTTCAACAGGGTTTCCCCTGAACGGGACTCATGTTCCCCTGGATACGTCATCAGGGACAGCAAAACACAGCCTGATTGAAACAGTTACCTGTGATGAGTTTGGTGGCCTACAATTTATTCTCCAAAGCAATTTACTGCCTGGTATGAACTGCACCGTGTCTTGAACCTCTGGCATATCATCAGCCTCATCATTTTCAGATTTAATAACATCTTCACTCTGAAACAGAGAGAACATTTGGCAGGGGAACAAAGGGAAATTGGACAGTTTCATCTAGAGTTCGACTGGTGAAGAATTTGTTCAAATCTGAGATATTAAACACTCTCCTGTGCTTCTGCCTCACCACTCATGTTTGCTTTCCTCACTGTATACTGTTCCTCTCGTTTTTATCGTAAGGTCTTGCTCCTGATCTCTCTGAATAGTCTCCCACCACCTACGAATGTCTGTTTAAAAAAAATTAGTCATACTCAAGTAACATCTTTCAGAAGTCTTTTCTCTAGCTTCCCTCCTATCCCACCCCATTTCACCCAACGTGACTACTACTTCTTCAGGCTGAAATGAGTCAAGACTGCCATTTAAACCAGTTCCTGTAACGGCCTCAGACAGACAAACAGGGCACGCCTGCTTTTGGATATTGCTTCATCATTTGCAAAAGATTTGGATGGGCGATTAAAAAACCCGATGTGTCCTCGCTTCAGTCTGATTTCCAATTATCTAGACTCTAATAACTATTATCACTGCCAATGCGCTCCCTACGGAGACTTTGTACTTAAGTTCATAAATACCGTTTTTCCTTACAAGCTTCTTTGTTACCAGATGAACTGCTGTAACGTATATATAAAATCAAAGGCAGTATTCTTCAAGAGCTGCTCTCAGAATCTGAGAGAATATGACTGTCGTAGGACACAGGCAGCTACACGGTAGAATTTCAGAGGATTTTACCATGAGAAACCATTAAAACTACAACCAGAAGGGAAGTTTGAGGCAGTAACATCCTAGAGTGATACTAACACGGTTTTCTTCCCTCCCCTCACTCCCACCCTCTTTCTATTTTTTCTGCCCCCTCTGACATGGCTCATTTATTTTACTCAAAAACACCCGAAGAAGTTAAACAGGGCCTGTTTTATACACTAGAAAACAGCTCCATATGGTTAAGAGTCTAATTTCAGTCATTTGGTTTGAGTATTCATTATTTAAAAAGACTCTTTTAGACTGCTTTCCATGTCAACATCTGGTTTACTGTTAAGACAGTTCCCCATCTAAATATAGATTCAACAGGAAGGAAGGAAAGAAAGAGTTGATTTTCATAAGATGAACAGAACCTTATTATTTAAAAAAAAGAAGTCAAAATATAAGCCTGTACCATGATGGAGTCCAGAGCCAAAAGCAAGGCCTCTTGTTGCTCCAGATTCTTCTGATGTGACACTTTTTTCTGATGTACTTTTTAAAAAAGCTTTGGGCCTCTCAACATTAAGAGTGATTAGCTTCTGTTTAACTTGTCATTCTCATTCTCAATGAGCAACCAGGGTCTGCAAGACCCTGTCAACACCAGGAAACCCAACAGTCCTCTGCCGCACCGTGCAACATTTTGCATTTTCCACAGAACACCGAAGCTTTGGCAGAAACTTACCTGACAGCGCTTGCATGTGATGACAAAACCCTGCATGTTTCCAGACCCCTTTGCTGTCAAGGCTATCTGCACCAAATACTGAAATGCTGCATCTCCAAAAAGCATAACTGCCTTAGAAAACATACTTACTGTTTTTTTTTTAAAGCCCAAATTCTAGTATTTTTACATCTGGAGTTGTCAGTAGAGCTACTTTCCTCGTTCAAGAACTGGACAACATCAGCTTGGGGGTTGGTATTTGATGACTTCTCTTTTACAAATCGCTGGCCAACGCCATTTCTATGAGCTCTCTCCAATACCAGCAGCTCACACAAAAGTCTACGCCAGTTCAAAGTGCAATCCCTTCTCATGGGACTTACACTGCCCGTCTCTGACCCCCACCGAAGACAGGGCGTTTTAACCCTGCGTTCACCACCCTCTCACCATTTCTGTAAAGAAGATGTTTTACTTTCACTTCTCATATTTCAGTATCTTTTCTTCCTAAAGAATCCTGAACCTTACCGGCTTCAATTTCTTCTGCTCACCACCTCTCTTTTCACTCTTTTTGTAAGTCTCATACGTAGTGGGATCAGTGCACCATAAGCATTCTGTCCACTTGCCGTAGATCACACACAACTTCTTTCTGCTGCAGGGAAAGCAAAGGAGACTTAGCTTCTGCTTCTAACAAAGCCTTCTACACCATGTCATGCAGATTCTGATCTATATTAAATACCCAGCTTCCTACTTTGTTCTCTTTCATGCTGCTTTGCAGATTTCTTAGAAGCCAGGTATTGGATAATGCAAAGAAAAGGCTTCAGCTTATTCCAGTCTTTCTGGCATTCAGTCCTGCAGAACACATCCTCATGACTTAAGCACATGCTCTTGCCACTGTTAAAATGAGCGCGGGTGCAATAAAGCCAGAAGTTTACAATACAGAGACTCAGAGTCACAAAACAGGTTTGGGTTTGATTAAAAATTTCTAATAACCATATCCTCATTATTTTAAACCGAAGACTGGAATTGTGACTGTGCAACAGTGAAATCAGTTGTGACTACTCTGCATTTTCCCCGGATACTTTTATTTCCAAAGACTGGACTACAGAGTTTTTCTAATAATAATTACAATTATCATCCTAGAATCAAGGGGTTTACTACTGACATAGAGAACAGAAACAGGTTACAACTGGCATTGCTAGCGACTTTGCAGTCACATCAGTTGTGGTCACTATGCCAGCAAAAAGAAATGCCACAGTGCTCACAAACAGAGAGGCCAAGAGGCTTTTATCACTTACTTTTTGTCCTGAATGTATCCCTCCACTCTGTGAAGCTCCTTCCCAAACAGTCCACACGGTTTAAAATTAAGGACACATTTATCTCCAGTACTGTAGAGGAAACAAGTACATGCTTAAAGAAGCAAGTCCCTAAACAGATTAGCAAGTTTACTTTTTTTACCTTATTTAGCTTTTCCCATATAGTTACCGTTAGCTGGGCACTAGTTATTTATATCATTTTTTTTCTTTAACTCTGGTTTATTATCTGACCAGGGCATTAAAAAAGGCACAAAAATTTCAAAATTCCACAGAAAGGACAAAAAAAGAAGTCAACGTGCAGACGAAGACATCAGCCTGTGAAAGCCAACTGAAAATGTGACCATGCTTCTCAGTTTCACGTATATCTAACTAAAATTTACCAAAAGAACTAGGAATAAAATGGAATGCAGTCTTGCATGCTACTTAACCCACACTATGAACACACCGTGTTTCAGATTAATATCTATTGACAGCTAATTGTCATGAGAAACAGCTTTTACAAGTGACCTATGCAGTAAAGTCTAGTTAAGTGCATTCAAGAGTTACCCCTAAATTGCCTATCAAAAATTCTGAACTAACCATTTTACAAACATAAACCAGCATTATTTGTTAGCAACTCCCTTGCATCAAGATGCACACATATGTAAATAACCTCCCCCAGTGAGGTACGAGGCCAAGTCTCTATGTCAAGCACAAAGCATACAGAGACCATCCTGGGTTTTTTGTGCCAACACAGGACACAGGATTGTAGATTTGATGCCATGAGAAGTACCAAAAGAGCAGCCCTGCTGGATTAAAGCTCCCATTTATCGACAGAAAAACAAGTGCAGAAGTAATACAATTTTCACAAAATTCTCTCCCTTATCATTACAGGAGGTTATTTATTTCATATAAGGTAAAAAGCTTTTATACAGGCAGTTGGCAGAGCGATTGACATTCTCTAAGTTCACATTATCCTACTCGGCAGTCGTTTTTCTGTGTCATAGCCTTAATTTATGACATTCCCTATAATCAAAACTAACGAGTGCCAAATCACAATCAACACGATGGAGGTCCACTGCAAGCCTCCAACAATTATTCCATTTAATGGTTCTGGAGTTAAATTTAATTTCTGTTCTCCGTCAATAGGGCTGAATTTGAATGAGTAACTCATAAATGTAAAATCTTTGTTTCCCATAAGCCACCTGGCCCTGTGCCTTTTCGTTAATATTATTATGATACTAAGCCCCGTCGAATGAACAGTTTGCATCTGTTGAAAGGGAAAAAAAAACAAAAAAAAACCCAAAAAAACCCAAAACCCTGCAACAAACCACCACCAAGATTTTGGACCTACAAAACAAAGCTTCCTGTGTAATCTGGCAAAAAAAAAAAAAATCAAAACTCTCTGCTTTGTAGCAGGAGTGACCGTGCACCAGTCCCTACAAGCCACCCCTCCGTTTCATGACTAGCATTACCTGTGATTTACAATTTCTACCGTTCCATATTGTTCTAACCACAGTTTACCAATAATTACATTATGTACACAACAGGTTGGATTTGTCCACGTGTAAGCTTCATTATGTCTGTAAAGAAAATAAGAGAAATACATCATTTCCTTGGGTTTGAGATGGAACATAAGCCTGTTTTCAAATCTGTTCATGGCAGGGCAAAAATATTTAGCACTCCTATGAACAGCCAGCAGTTAACTTCAGAACAGAGAAGAAACAGACTTTTCTTTATAAGCCAACAATGTGTTGTATCTAAACATTAGTGCAAGTTAATACAGCGATACCCCCGTTATTTTTCTTCCTTCTTACAGAGCTGAAATACTAAGTTTTACAGCTGCTGTGCTTTTGATTACAAATTCCAGCCCAACATAAACAGCAGTCCAGGAATTCATCTTTTCATTTGCACTTTTAAAGCTGTATGTGATAAAACATAATACCCTCAGGAGAACCAGACCAACAAACTAACACCTAATAGTATCTTCTACTCAACCACTGCAGCAGCACTGAAAACTTCTTCCTAAAGGTCTTTCTTGTAAACCTCTACAAAGATGAGTCAACAGATTCCAAATCCTTAAAAGACATTAACATTTTGACCACTTTTAGAATAAATAACTGGGTTCCTCTTATCACCAGCTCAGCAGACCCAAAGCCATCTGTTCTCGCTCATCTTTCCATGCTGGTAAAAGAAATGCTGAAGTTACCTGGTTGGCAATCAACCAATCTTAGGAAAGCTTGCAAATTCTATTTTAAGACAAAAAAATACAGAAACAAGCAGCGTCCTCTTTGTAACAAATGCCTTGTACTTCCAGTGAGTATGGAGGGAACACTCCTATTTAATGTTTCCAACCGGCCTGTCATTTTCCAGCACAACGAAAAAACAGATCATTGAATTCTGACCATTTTCCACAGCAAATTGTCTTCAAGCATACTTTAGAACAATGACTGCTCTTCAAGTTGGGGAAAAAAATACCAGAACCCTCCAAATTCATCCCCCCCACCCTTAGCACGCAATTTTATTCATGAACTACTTGACACCAAAAGCTGTATAGCATAAAACAAAACACTCACGGCCGGTGGCTGATAAATTGAAACACTTAACTTGTGCTGGAGAAGTGAGGAAGAAGCGTGTTTTGTACTGCATGTTAGTCATAGTCACGGTTAACATAAACACAGTACTTAACGTTGACTTGCAATTTTGCTTCTTAAACAGTTACTTGTTCACTCAGGCCCTGAGCAGTTCTCAGACTACTCAAACCAACAGAATGGTATGAATCACAACACCGAAAGGCTCAAAATTTGATTTCAACTTCTGCCACTAACTTGAAGCGATTATTTAAAATAAATGCTTTAATCATTTATATTCCAGTTTAAATTTGTGCTCTGTAATTTGATTAGCCAAAGCAAGAATTTTAAAAGTCTTCTAAATAAAGGCTCTCTCTCAAGCAACGAGCTTTACTTCTGTCACGTCTTCATTCTACACTAACATAGTTCCTTCCACGTTCAGAAGAAATTTCCTCTATTTCCATCACCATTTATATCCAAGACCAGTTCATGCTTTTATAAGCTTCAGAAGACTGGATGCCAGCAGCTCGAAAATTAAATTACACTTTCAAAAGAAACTACAGGAAAAGCCAATGCTTGATATGGCAGGCAAGCTGACCCTTTATTGAAACCAAATGTCTAGAAATTTCATACGACAACATTTCAAAACAACCTCCGTTAGGCCTGAGGAAAGCTTTTATAAAAGCACCTCGAAGCATTCAATTGCAGAATACTTTTTCTGCAACTATTACCTAGTGCATCCTTGTGTCCTCCTTGGGAAAGCCCAAGGGTCTTTGTGCCACCAGGGCACAAATCAACTTATGGAAAGTCACATGATTTGTAAGAGACACACGCAATTAGAGACAAGCCAAGAGGCGTTCTTGACTTCAACAGGAAGGTGATCATACACAGGAAGCGTTAAACAGGTGACAAGGCAATCCTGCCAAGTTTCTCAGGTTCCCTCATCACACAGAAAGCTATTCTGGACGATGCAGTTCTTCCCACACAATCAAAACCAACAACAATATTTAAAGGCGAGACAAAATTAACGTGTAAATATCCTCTTACCACCTCTTCAGCAAGAGGTTTTCAGAGAATCACCTATGAAGAGCCAACAGAACAATTATCACCTATCTTTTTATTCAAGTAAATGTTAAGGAGACCAAAAGGTATTTATATCTCATACTCACTTCAGAAGCTCCAAAGTAATTGTTCCCCGAGGTTCCGCTTCTATACTTTTTCCCCAGAATTTTAGTTTGGGATAGATTGATCCATGAAAAATAAAGTCCTTATTGAGGCCTTCAGAATAAAATGCACTAATAGGCGGGTGGTGGCTGACTTGCTCAGATATAAACCTAAATCCTAAATCCTCTCTAGCAACAACAACAAAAAAAAGCATTAAACAGGAAATATTTTTTTTAATGTTACAAGATAAGAGTTGTTTGATACTTTAAAAAATTTTAACTATTTTTTTATTAAACTGAAGGCAAGACTTTTCCTTTTCTAGTCCCACGACACACTTAAGATTAACAAAATGAAAGAATTTGTACTCTGAACACTTTCTCTTTATACCCCAAACCAACCCACATTCAAACACCTGAATTACGTTCTACCCAGAAGGACATCTGAAGAAGTTTCACTGAAATAACTCATGAAAATACTGAAACTCTTTGGGCAGCAGCAGCAGGTCTGACTGAAAATTCTCTTCTCCGCTGCAGACATATCACTCATTTAAGAAAGCTGGAAGTCCTTCAGACCCTCCTCTATCTGACATGATCAGCAAAACATTATTTAAAGTAATTAATAGTGTCTGGTCAGGAAATGTCTTTGGTGGAAGAACATGGACCAGTTTTTCTCTGAATAATTCAAAGGATACTCTGCTTAAACCTAAAAAATTAAAGTATTAGCTTTTATAACAACTTCTCAAAGATTTTGAGATGGTTTGGGGAAAATAAAAATCTAAAATACATTTCTAAGTATAGAAAAAATTATTTATTTCATTGAATAAACAACAAAACTAGTATGAGAGTCTGCTACTTCAAGAACACAAATAGCCCCAGCTCCCAATTTAAAGTAATTAGTACCTGGTTAATTCATAAGTTTCTCCTAACAGCGGGTTAAACGGTTTGCCAGTTCTTTCCCACTGAGAAGCTACAGCAGAAACTGCAAAAGCAGCTACAGCCTATAAGCAAATTAAGAACACATTGTTATGAGAACAGTACATTAAAACTCTACATTTAATATATTATATTTGTTGCACATTACAGTATTTAATTATTCTTCCAAAAAGAGTGCTATATATCGCTTAAAGCCAAAACACTTGTAAGCCATAGGATAAATGATATGGAAAAATATAAGCAGTTAATAAGAATCTCATTTCCACAAGGAATTATTTTCTGTAGTAAATTTTGTCACATTATACTCTGCCCCATGCTTCTCCACCTACCTCTAAGAGAACAGCCTGGTTTCTTAAACTGGCTTTTCCCCCCATTTTGACTGTCCCCCACCCTCAGTTCGTTGGGAACAGTCTTGCTTTTCCTAGCATCAGGCAAGCATTGTTTCTACCACAGCTGAGATTTCTGGAGTCATACCAGCAGGTGCAAATGACACTTAGAAGCTCCTGCAGGCCGGTAAGTAGGAGTAGGGGTATGTATTACACAAACACAGAATACAAGATACACATTCCAGCTTCACTGAAGTAAAAACAGAGCTATGAGCACTACCAGTGTATCGCCTAGTTTCACCACATTCAGTTCCTTGTTGTGACACCAGCCAGGTACTAGATTCTACTCCCAACAGCAACCAGTTTTGAAGAAAAGAGTGGTAAAGCTTGTCTCTGTCACAGCAACTTTTCATCCAGTAACTTAAAGGTCACGGAGCCACTCAGCAAATCAATTTGGGGTGACTTAAAGCCAAGATTTCATCTTGACATAAAACCACAAAGAGAGTCGCAGTTAAAGCAGTCCTGAAAAGGTTTGAGGTCCTCGAGCATCGGCAGTTGTGGCACTGTCCTGCACTAGACTTTTGGCCAAAACTCTGTGCACAGCATCAAGTGCAAACGTGTCACAAATAGCCACTATGAAACAAGAAACTTGTCTTTACAGACAAATATGGACATTCTTATGATTGCCCCAGAGAAAGAAATACACTCAAGTGAGAAATTGTCTAAAAATGAAAGACTCTGGGAGAAAAAAACCCTCCTCCTCAACTAACCAGAAGGTGGTAGCTGTTGCTTACCTGCATTCTCTCCAGGGGGTCTGCATGACTACAAGCCTTATTAATGAGGTATATATGTTCCATATATTCTGTTATCCGTTGAAGGAAACTCAATGGCTCGTTGAAGACAATAGGCATTGTAATCTTAGACAGCTCCTAGGTAACAAAAGGAGAAGTTAATTTCATAGACACAACACTAAGTTAACAACTGACAACCGCAGTTAGTTTACTTATAGCATTCTTCAAAGACATTTGGCAAGCCTATAGTAGACCTCTCAAGTGCTGCAGGGGCTAGAAGTGCTGCAGAACCCTGCTAGCGATCTGGAAGAATAAACAACTTGAAAAATTGATCTGGCTAACCTAGTAAATTCAAGGACAATGTTACCTTCTGTTCTGCGGTCTACATAAAGCAGAAGAGGTAAAAACTTCCATAGATAGCAGCAACGATGTGCCAACCAGCTCATTACTGATATTTAAGTACCACGCATTCCTTTGAAATCCTCACATACCTATTCGCACAAAATCTAACTATTTTACTGCAGTAACCACAAATTATTTTTTGCAAGGAACAGTTGCATAAAGAATAGGATTCGAATAAGAAATTGTAGTGGCTTTATTTAAGCAACCTGATATTTGTGTCAGAATGTTTGTCATTTCGCATGTGGATACAAGACAGACAAGAAGTTGACACAGAGATTTCCAATTCCCCAGTTCCTTTACTAGATCTAAGCAAATCTGGCTGTTTAATTAAAAAGCTGCACTCATGACTGAGCACTAAAGCATCGTTTAAGCACTTAAAACTTAGTGGAAAGGAGAATGCCACCAGATGAAGTTAATGCAACATTTTGCTCACATTGTCACAGGCAGTAAGGAAAAAAAAGCTACCCCTAACTGACTGAACTTGATTTGGTCCAAGCAAGACATTCTAGTAGGTAGGTCGCTCATCCTAACAAAAGGCTTTTTGACAGTACAGCTGTATCTCCCAGATGACATAAGTTAAGCTAGTAGAAGGGTTCACTGACTTGTCCCTCGCATTCACAAAGGACTGTAGCAGTAGATCTAGACTGGATATGAATGTAAATGCTTAATGCTTCTCAAAAGCGGCTATGGCAGCAGGGCCCTCCAGTGCAGAACATCATTTCCACTTCTAGTAAGAATGAAGTCATCAAACATGTAATTCTTAAAGGATTAAAAAAAGAAAACAACCCAGCAGTGATGGCCAACACCAATGCAAGCATCGGGGTCCTTCAACAACACAGAGCAATGTAAAGGTCTGTGTCTCCGAGTCCAAGAAAAAAGCTTGTGACCCAATTACATCACACCATTAACACCCCAAGCCCTACACTGGGCTCTCTAAGAAACTCTAACTTTTCTATCCCTTCAGTCAGATGAAAGCAATTTTTTGGCACAAACTGCTTAAATTATCGAGGGGGTAAGGTAACTTACCAGTCCAATGCATTTTTTTAATATGCTCCACACACTAAAATCACTTCTAGAAAACATTGGGGCGGGTAATGACGTCCTGTAATTGGAAAAACAACTGTCATTATCAGCCTCTTAAAAAATAAGTCATTTGCATTTGTAGGTATTGATGTAATTTACAAAGGAAGCAAGGCATTAACCTAGAGCTGACACAGGAAGCAGACAAGTGAAACGTCTCTTCAGTTCCAGAGAATTAACCTCTTTCAACGAGAACAGTAATCCCCCAAAAGATAATAAGCCAGCACGTACTCACGTCTCATTTACTGTGTAGTACTGTGTGTTTACCTGTGTCTCTTAATTCCATTTTCTTGAATCTCTGTCTCTCCATTGTGCTTTCCAGTCCTATTGCTTTGGTGTGGATCTAGATCAAGCATTTCTGCAACTTTATGATTTGCTTCTGAAAAGTCTCCTGAAGAATTGTCAGAATCAAAGCCTGTATAAAAACCGTAAGGCAATAGTTTTCTTAGGCACCTTATTATGCCACAGAGTGCCACTCACATTTCATAACTCTCACAGCGTAAGTACACTTATACCAGGTTATTTTATTTCAAAGAATATCAGTGAAAACCCTTTATTAAATGACCTAATTTCCAAGAGTATTTGGAGCCAAGTATTGCATTAGAATCAAGCACTCTCAACTAATTTTTCACACTGCTGAATATAAAACCAATTTCAAATCCTACAAGTTCTTCAGTAGCTCCTAAGCAGATTAGCTGCATTGTCTGTTCTTCAGATCTGCAGTGTGATTACAGTAATTTTGTTCAGTTACATAGTTTTCCTCAAAGACCTTCCAAAAAAAAATTAACTTAGCCTACTTATACTGCTAACAGGCAAGGGGGGGCGAGGGGGAGAGAAAAGGGCGATTTCACAATCCCGTGGCAAACATCCAGACTCCTAGAACAACAGAAATATAGGATCTCTAACTCCTTTTTGCCATCCATGTGGGCAGACCATGTAACGCATCCCTAACGGTTACGGCAAGAACCTGTGGACATCAAGACGAATCGTTCCCTGAGCTCCACAAGCGACCCAAAGCATGACCTACAGTAGGTGGCTCCATTTCCTATAACCCCATTCCATCCACTTGGGTAGATAGCTACCAGAAACTCGGCTGTAACTCAATGTCAACACCCCCAATATCAACATCCTTTGAACAGTTTTATCCATTAAAAAAGTTAAACCAACAGGAATCTACAGGAACACAAGATTTTGTAATCACGCAGCCCTAACTTGGACTAAACCAACAATCTGAGATTTTAGTCTAATGATCTTATTTTTTTAAGTCACACTACTTCCCCACACACACTTAGAACAACAACAATTTACTTTCGCATGTGCCTTTAAATAAGAAAATTGTAAAAACCATTTTATGCAGATCTACACACGCACACTCGGTCACGATCAACAGCAACAGGCCTCCTGTCCGTGCTGCTACACGGGCTGCAGGACAGCTGTTAACAACCAATAAGGACCAGTTGTGGCACCAACACAGAGCTCCCTAAAATGATGCATTAATACAATCCCCCTTCACAACTCTCATAGTATCACAACAGAGAGAGCACTGATCGCTCAGTGTAATAAAGGAACATTTTTGTTGAAAATCATTCAAAGAGCATTCAGTCCTTTCTGAGTGCCACAAGGGTCAATTCTTCATCAAGAACCACAAGATGACTTTAGTTTCCAGCTTCTGATTTACAAGTCAGAATCCAAGAGCAACATGAAAACACGTGTGTTTACCAGCACACAACTCTTGCCACAGTTTTAAGGAACACACTAACATCATTTTCGTCTTCCTTTCACTCCAGCTGTCACAACCTGGGCAACCACTTGCTTATGTGCTGACAGCTACCATCACACTCAGCTACAGCCTATCCCAAAGTCCAGCTGTGGGTACAGAAAGATTCCAAAATATTACAAAGCATGTAAACACTCTACTGGAGTAAAGAAATCCATTTTGGCGGAAATTATTTCAATTTTAAATAAAGTAAAATGTTGTGATCCTCTGTCATTAACTTTTTAAAAATAGAGTGTATCTATCACAAATAGTACCTCAACCTTTCTTTTTGTTAACATCTCCAACAGGGTGCTTTTACTTTATTAAAGCAATTCAGGCAAGGCACGTGTTCAGAAACAAAAAAGCTGCATTTTTTTCCAGAGATCAAGGCCATGACAGTAACGTTGAAACCTGCACAAGGAAGTTACCCCCGATATGAGTTTATTTGGTAAACAGCAGGTGTAATGGGTGATGTCATGTATTAGACAGTCTCCTACATTTTGATGTCACAAGCCTGTAATTATACAGCAATAACCACACCTTAGCAGTCTTAGTACTTAATGGGAAAGTATGATAGTCACATATATACTCAGGTCATTAAAACGAAGACTACTCTGAAACACCCCTCTTAAAATAAAGCACGTGCCTATCTTCAGTCAACCCACAACAAAATATTTATAATTTTAAAATGGCATTTCTAACCACACATTAGCTTTTTTTGGAACTTGTTACAGTAAAGAGAGATAGAAAAGGCAAGTACTGTAGGGTACAACAAAATAATTTTTATTACTTTGTCTGATGAAGTTGGAAAAAACAGATGAGCTTTCTGGTACATGTGCCCTCACCTAGAAAAGATGATCGTGCGCACACAACATAAGGAAGAGCATCACATTTAATGGGCACTTCAACGAGATAAGCACACCTAAAGTAAAGCTTCAGAACAGGAATAGTCAACTGGCTTACAGGGGAACAGGTATGGAAAACGTTACTGGAATTACAGTCTTTACATTGTACCTGAAATCTTGCAAACCCTATGAAACATTCATTGTTTTTATCCACTCTATTCTTTCTGGTTTTCCATGATTCAGAATTGTTTTGCCCTGTTCCAAACAGTACAATGGGAATTTAGATTCAGATAAATAAATGCCAATTCAAACAAGCATCTTACATACAAACAATAAAAATTAAATCCCTGCTCCAGAAAAATAACATATACCAGAAGTGCAAAGTCTGCTTTGTCAGAGTGCACCTCCACCTAATTACTTTAAAAAAAACCCAACACACACACACACAAAAACCCCAAACCACTAGGGTGGGTACACAGCTGGATAATCTAGACTTTCAACTATACTTTCAACCTTTCCACTGGCTTGTCTACTTCAAGCCCATTGAGAAAGTTTTAAAAGCTGTTTCTCAATGAAGTTCTAAGTACTATAGCTTTGTGAAGAACTACCCGGAGAATGTTCTTCACGGAGGAAGTACTGATCTGGAATAAAACCAGTTTACTGAAATGATTTGTTGTGGTTTTTCTAAGTTACAAAAAGAGCCTTTCTCCAGCTGCCATGAGAGCCTTGAACTTGCAAAACTGAGGAGGCAAGTTTCACTCACAGGACAGTTTTCATAGTGAAAAGCCACTGGGAGCGAGGATAAAAATGGGGATTTAAAGGGGGGATAGAGGACCACACACAGAAATGTCAAAAATTAGCTTAATCAAAAACCCCAGCGTGTGTGTTAAGGGTGAAACAAAAGCTTATAAAAAGTCTTAAATTTTCGAAGTCAAATACTTAAGTTGGGTGGCAACATTAATCTATTTCAAGAGCTTAAAAAAAAAAAGTGACTTGCCAGTAACTCTAGTTTTCTTAGCCTTCTTCTTCTTCTTCCACATCCTGCAAATAAAACGAGTCCACTCAGACTATGCTATACATCCACCTACGAAGGAGCAGAGGCGCACACTGTTCTACGAGTCTGGTACTAAGACACAAGACCGCCCCTTTCGTACAGTCAGCAACTTCCTTAAATACTAATTAAGCCTTGTCACTCAAGACTGAAAGGGAATCAAAACAGCAAGAGTTTTGACAACCTTCAGACCTAAAAAGGGCATAAGGAATAGGGATAAACAGACTGGAAGCATAGACACAAGTGAAGCAAGAGGTAATTGTTTCTTTGCCAGAAATTACCACTCCCCACTTCTCAAAACAAGCCCGTCTTCACCACCCCGAGCCATACGGCGCTGCTCCGACAGGAGGCAGGCTGGCCTTTCACAAGGTCTGCAGTACTTAAACAGTATGGCAGAATCTGCTGAATCAGTTTGATCCAGACATTATGAAAATATATAAATTTGGCAGCAGAGACCTCACTTCCTCCTCCCCAAGTGAAAGCAATAGTTTGCAGTGAACAACAGCCAAGCAATAGGAAACAGAAGGGCAACATCCTCACAAATACACCAGGCTGGATTAACCTCATGGACACAGAACAGACTTCCATGGAACTGCAGGTTAATATTTAAGAAGGCAAAACAATTCACGTTTGTCAAAAATAAATTACCCTGGTAACTAGCCAAGCATTTTCCTGCTCGGTGGCCATCCTTCCACAAAACAGTTTGGCAAACAGATATCTGACAGAGTTGATGAAGGCTACAGTTCCCACAGAGCAGAACCTGATGGCACAGTCTTTAACAAGTCTGTGATGAGATTAATAAACCCAGGGTAACACAGGCTAGAGGCAAGTAACCAAAGCTACATGCTCCCCGTCTCACACAAAATTTCAGAATCTAAAATTCCTCAAAGGATTGACCACTTTACCTGATCCAGTCTCAGAGACTACCTCTTGTGTTTGAGGAAAAGCAGATGCTGTGCTGTCAAGAATTAACTGAGACCACAGGTAACATTCCCACGAGATTCCCAAGGGCGGTACTCACTCACAAAGTAAGGATGTCAAGTGTGCAACTAATCAGCAATGCTAATAACCTCTGAATGCAAAGAAACTTCTCTCCATGGAAGCTCTTTACCAGTCACTAACTCGATTCATCACCTATGTAACACAGTCCATCCTGCACATTTACAAGTGTAATCATCATCCAGTCAGGGTCAAACCATCTGCCAGGAGGATGATTCCCAACCACCCAGCATGCATTTCCACCACGTGAGCGTGTCTTTTAGACGTGATGGGGACAGCATCAGTAGCAGGAAACTTCTCGGCCAAAGAGATGAAATCCACCACAACAAAATCCAGGGGTCTCCTTAGGATAGATTCATGTTCGAGAAGTGGATGTCACCAATTAATAACTACAGAAAAATCGTGGCTTCCTCAAGGAGTGAACTCCTAGTATCTTGAAGGGAGCAGCATACTACTGGGGCTGCTGCTGAGACTGCTGCAGAATTGTAAAGCGTAACTTCCCATGGAGTTCAAGCCTGGTTTGCTACTTATAGGGGACAAACCACAGCACCCAATTACTAAAATCAGTGAATTTGTGGGAACACATTGCAGCTCTCTCTGGGGAAACCAGGGCCCAGGACTCTGGGGGAGTAAGAGGAGAAGAGTATGGCGTACATGCTGTTTTCATCTCAACACAGAGCTAAGACACAGCTGGAGAATGTGCTTGTTCCTGGTAGTCATGTCCCAATCCTAGAATAAGAGCAGAACAAGCACATGCCTAAAGGTGGCTTCTGCCCATCTACTGATCTGACCTAAAGGAAGGAGAGTATCCTTCAAAAGAACAGCCTGAGGAGTCTGCCACAGACATTTATTTTTTTTTTTTAAATCAAAATCTGGAAGCCCAAATGCTGAAGTTTTCACTGTGGAACCTGAAAACTTACCCTGGCTCAGAAAGGACTTTGATTCTGAACTTGATCTCCTGGAAGCACTAGGTCTACACCTACCATGTCCAGACAATCCAAAAACTAAGAGATAGGCAGGCACAATCAGGACCCATTTGAACCTAAAAAATTTAGCAAAGCACCATCTGAAAGATACACAGTCCAGGGTGCTAACAGAAACAAAGAGCTGCTACAGGCATCAGAACACGAACGCAGAAAGACCTATTTACTGTTGTTCTTAGCATCACATTTACGTATGACCTGGACAAGACACAGCTACAAAGAAGTAGGTCTAGTCTTCACTAGGTTTGTGCAAGTAATCCATCAGCATCTTGTAAAGCATCTAGCTGGAGAAAGACATTGAGTACCTGTCTTTAAAGACAGTCCCAAGGAACAAAGAAACTGAAACAAACTATTCCAAACCTAGCACTCCTCTTAAACTAAGTACCTGTGGGGCATGCTCTGGGGCAAGAGATATAAGGGGAAAAGTTCCACTTCATTTAGCTCCTGGAGTGGCTGCTGCAGACCAAACAGCCTCCATCAGAAGAGGGCTGTGCTGAGGGCCTATAAAGACATCAGATCTTTTGCTTAGAAACTTCTCTCCTGCCATCACATCCCTCCCTGTGGAAGAAGAAGATTAGGACAGGACAAGGAGCGCTCACAGAAGCGATGCACAGCATCCCACTTCTGAGTAGAGCCAGCCAGGACTGCAAGGTACAAGAACGTCTCACGCACAATACCTCAGAGGTCATTACCACCTGGAGCACTTGCAGGCAGGATATCTGTTTTGAAGCTGAGGAAAAGGAAAAAAGAAGAGGAAAGAGGACAAAACCAGAGCGTTCAAACGCAGATGACTCAAACACTGAGGCTGTGTTTTTCTGCAGCAAGAGGCAAAGGAACGCATCAACATCAAAGCTGTACAACACAGACCTCATACTTAGAGGCACATTTCTGTTCACCTTTCAGTTGGAAAAAAAAAAAAATCTAGTTCATTTATGGCCATGGTCCTGAGCTCTTGGAATTGAAAGGTTACTAAAGACATGCAGGAACAATTCATTGGGTTTTCAAGATTTTTATGGTACAACGATTTGGTTTTACAGACAAATTTGGAGTACGAGTCCCTATCACTCCTAGCTAGCACGAATGCAATCCAAATTTCCTTCTCTGTGACATAATTGTGACAAGTCCTATACAGCCCACTGTCAGTCACGTTGCTTCACCCAGCCCCCTCTGTTTACTCCTCATATGAACTGCCAACCAACCGTGTCTAAGTCTACCTTACGCACTTGTATCTACCATGTTACTTCCATTCCTTCAGCTTTCAAGCTTCCCATTTTCTCTTTTCATTCCCATGATCCTACATTAAGCACTCTACACTCACCACTGCCAGCATTTCTCATTTCACCTCTGTTATAGGATTTCTGAGGAGATATTTAAGTGGAAGACTTTAAAATTGTTTGACAACTTTAAAGGGATTTCTTTTTTTTTTTTTATTAAAATACTTCAAGCATTTTATTTCACCACTAAAACCATGTAAGACTCTTATAAATAACCATTCATCCTTATTAGTTCAAAGAAAAGTACTATTTGATACACTGCTCAAGTGTGAAGCAATTCATGTTTGCTTTTCTAGAAACAACACTGGATTGCAATGACTTTTGTCTCCCTATCTTGAAAGCACATTTCTACAGTAATTTGTTTCTGACTAGAAAAAAATTTTCTACTTCAGTTCTTCAGGATTAGTTTTCCATTAAAATCAAGAAATTAATAAAATAACAATAACCCACAGATGACATTTCACCTTTCAAGGGGTCTTAAAAGCATTATTTCTCAAGCTGCTATTAAATTACCTGCATTTCACAGAAAATGAATGCGAGACTTGGCCACTAAAGGACTGTTACGGTGATAAAATCATAGCCAGCATCAAGCTTTAATAAAAAAAAACCCTAACTTCCAAGTCTGAACCTGAATTATAGTTCTTCCTTTCTTCTTTTCAGAAGATAGCACTACAAGGTTACCAACAGCAGTTTATTTTTGATTTGTTAACAGCAATACGTTACCAGCCCTTCACCACACACACAATGCAGTTTATAGCTTTTTTTTTTTCCTTGGCACTATGCCCATCACTCACCCGTAACGGCATCATAAAACTCTTCTTCACTATTCATCCTTCAGTGTGAAATCTCTGTACAGCCAGTCCAGCTTCCTCTAATGCATCGTTGAACTTGATTTAGAGATTAAGTATCTGTGTGCTGTCCAAGTCTTCTCTTGCAAATACCCAGCTGCTTTAGATGATCTATTTGTCAAGACAGGGAAACAGAATTAGCAACTTTCACATTTCTTACGTGCACAAACACGCACACTTGACAAATACTAATTTTCTTATTTCTTCCCATGGTAAAAGATGGATTTTTGCATTGACAAGGAAACAGCCTTCGTTGATACCAAAGTCATTCTGAAGATGAATACTACCTACCACAAGAACAGCTGATGTATTTACTATGCCACACTTCTCTCTATATAAAATACATCATATATATTACTGTAAAATACATCTTATTTATCGCAAGTTGTATTTCAGGCAAGTACAGCTAGGAGCGGCGAACTGAAGGAAGAAAAGAGACAGCTGGAAAAAGAAAAATTCTCCTCTTCAGCAAGAGGATAAGCCTTACCACATCCTTAATCAAGAAAGCTGGGAACAAGAAAGAACCTTATATCTCAAAACCTCACTCTTGCATAAAAACGTTGGGCCCCACTGCACATCATGCACTCAGTGCCTACTGACCATTAGAGCAGCTTTGTCAGGCTACTGCTACAAACTCTTGAAGAGATAACTGGAGATTTTTCCCTCTACAGGGAGAGTGTAAAGGAACAAAAAACTTTTTTTCTCAGTAAAGCCAAGCACGCTGCAAATAACTTACAGATTTATGAAGCATTCCAGCTCTACTTTATGGATAGACTAAATGAGATTTTTTCCAGATGGTTGGCAATGGCGTAACGTAAACATTTTTACTTTACCCAATTTTAGTCTAAGGAGAATATTGAGAAAATTTGTTTCCACTCTTACAAATATTCATCAGGTACCAATGACGAGCCAAGTGCACAATGATAAACGAGAGCATTGCAATAGTATCGATATCTCCTCCAAAACAACCTCAATCTGTCAGTCTCAATTTCTTATGATCCTTGAAGATCCTGCTGCTTTTGTGACAGGAGTTTTTCCAGAGTAATTATAACTTGCACAGTTCCATTCCAATTAAGAGAAACAAAGCCAGAAGCGCACTCTACTCCTAGCAGAAGAGCTTGCCATGTTTGAAGCAATTTCCTTCTTCCTCTCTGCAAGAAATCAAACTCCAAGATTCTTCCTGTGTTTCAAATCTTTACACCTCACTACCCAGAACAAAAGCTATCTGACTGTCTCACACACATACAGTCCTTCCAACTCTCCATTCAGAAGGAGGTAAAATAGCCTATTTTGCAACCCATCTAAGTTAATGAATGTAGCATTTGCTTTGAAGTGTCATGTCTGGCAAGGCCAGGTATTTCAGTTTGACACCTTTCCCTTAGGAACTCCCTATTTCCTTGCCACTATAGGATTTTGTATCAATCTCTGCATCATGGTGAGTATCTCAGCTTCCACATCATCTCCAGCAATTTCTTATTTACAAGTCCTCACCTCCACAAGGACAAAACTTTTTACAGCTGCTTCTCTTGACCTCCGCTACACTGCTGTTGCAATTGCTCTCACCTGGATGATAGCTTCCTTTGCGTTTTCCTGTGCTGTTTTCCAATCAAGAGACTATTAAACCTTCTTCAGCTTTCTTGCTCATCAGCCACAAGTTTCTGACTTACTTTTGTCAAAGTGCTGCATTCTCCTAGGCAAGGATGCAACAGCTCAAAACATTAACAGATCAGATACATGAGTGCCTGAAGACTTCCAGTGCAAGGCTATCAGCAAGTGCTCTGTTTGCATAAGGGAAGGACCAGCAGCTTCACTTCAAAAAGACACAGGCAGTTCAGGCCACTAGCAACCACGGCAGCAGTTAGCTCAGATTTCTGGGTGAACTAAACAGCACTGATAACATTGTTCCATAAATCTGTACCGTAAGTACAAGTCAGTGTACCTATCCCTGTGTTAGCTTGCCTAGCAGAAGCCAGGCCTTGACTCTGTGAAAAAAAATAAAAATGCTCGTTCATACCAAAGCTGCTGTCAGTCTTAAGAGTTTCTCCAAACTTTCCAGCTCCAACAGCAATATATCTGGAAGTATCTCTTCCAAGGTCTCCAAATATTTCATATCTTTGCAGAAAATCTGTCCTTGAGGTTGCAACTATGTAAACCTTTCAATGGGGACGGAAAGAGAGAATCCAAAGAAAACTATTGCTACAGAAAACAGGAACTCGACATCTCAGGACAACCGCTCACCCCAGCAGCCACTATCACCACACTGGAGTAACTCCACTAGTTTGCCAAAAAAGAAGTTACGTTAGAGGGCTTCTTTAACCCCTCAAGGTACGGTGTCCTTGAAGATGCAAGACATTTATGGTTTCACTTGGCTGCAAGTATTGCATCCCTCTAGCAAAACAGCAGCCGTTATTTCCAGAAGAAAACTTGTATATGTACAAGATGTACAGAAGATACAGACTTCTCGTGATCAGCACTACAATTCCCTCATTTTCTCCGTGTTTTGTTGCATCTTCCCTTTTTATGTTTAGTCTCTATTTTTTATTTAAGCTCTTCCAGCAGGACTATCCTATTGTTACATACAGCTCACGTGGTGGGATTCTGTTCTGAAACAGCCTTCTATCTATCTGCAACACAAAAAGGAAAAAAAAAAAAAAAAAGAGCTAGTTCAAAACCCACCCCCGTTCAGTTCAAACGCAAAGAACACACTTCCTCAGGGTCCCTATCCAAACACAGCCATGTTATACACCAGCTGGCAAGCTTCAGAGATGATGCTTCGTAACAGCAACCCCAGTACGCTAGTCTCGTGGAACAGGCACTAAGAAATAAAAATTATGACTTAAAAAATTGTCAGTTATCTTATCAAGAGCCTTAACCAAGGTCATGCAGATGAATGACAATTTCTCCTCTCCCCTCTCCTGCACAATAATAGTTGCATTACAAAAGGACTTGTGAAGTGGAACTACACCACACAGCATGCAGTTTCACTATAAAGACAAAGAAGCTTTTCTATAAGAACACTCATCAAGTAAAAATACAGTAACTAGAACCTAGACTTGAGTTAACTGAAAGCAAGAGATATGCTGTGTCCTCCTGATACGCACCTCACAGCACACCTTAAGTTCACTGCTACTTGAAAAGAAAAGTTCAGTCATATCCCTGTAAGTTATACACAAGCTTTGAAACTGTTACCTAAAGAACAAAATATTCATGGAAGTCACTTTAAATAATGGTCAGCAATTCTCCTAAGGTGCCAGGAGCATTTTTAAAAGGAATAACCCAACGTTCATATCACTTCTTTTACATTCACTTCTTTTATTTAGCAAAGATTAACGTGAATGTGCATGTAGATGAACACACAACGATAACAACATTTAGCTTTCATGAGCCAAAAAGCTAGGATTAAGTCCTTTTCTCTTACTAAAAGCAACAGCAAAAAGTTACTTTCAACTAGGTTGAAATGTCAGAAGAGAAGAACATCCTATTTGCTTCATGTTCGGCATTTCTAGTCTGTATTTCCTCCTCCATGTCCATGACGTACCCAACAGAATTCACTTACACACTAGCCACTGTAGTTAACAGCTTTTATCAACATTGCCATTCAAGGAAGGGTGCAATAACCCTGCATCAGACAGACCTTCAGCAGCTTGGGACCAAGTACCATCCTGGAAAACCCTTCATAAAGCATAAACATCATATCATGCTCACATCTCTTAGTCCTACAGTGTAGAAGAAACACAAGGTATATTTAGATATTTTCTTACATACACAGGAATCACTAGGAATCTAACAAACAATCCAATAGTTTTCCATACAGGACTTCACTCACTCTGTGTTGCAGAAAACACTGCGTCAGCAATCAGGGTTTGCTGGTTTACACGTTGAAATTATCTCAGTGGGCTTCACTCTAACAGCCAGTGCTAAAGGGCTGGGCCCGGGTACTCAAGGCACAGACACCCTGAAAGGTGCTGTTGCCTGGGGATTGCAGCCCAGCTGCACTGCTACACTGATGACCAAAGACAGACTGTATATAATTCATTTTATAAATAACAGGAAAAAGCTGCAAGTAAAGGCATCTTAAGAGAACTGGAAATCTGTAATTTAATGACAACAACAAACCCTTGACCACAAGCAGCCCAGATTTTGTGGTTTCTCAAGATAAGCGACAAAGCTCATCTATCTCCTCATATTTTAAGGCTATGGATTGGTATATACTAATCAGATTTACTATGGAATTTGTGCGCATGAATAAACACTGCCACATTTATTTTTATAATAGATTGATCCCCCTACAGGAGAGAAGCTATTTTTGAAGCTCAAACTGAAAGACAACAGACAGAAACATCCAAAAAAAGTACAATACCCATCACAACAGCACAACTTCCTAACTGGCCAGTAAATCTGTACTGCAAGCTGCATTATCTTACACTTTGCTCCAATAAATTCTCTGTACTAGGTTGTAAAGAACACTCGTGATACGATTTTACTCTTTGAAATTGCATTTAAAGTAAGTGCCAAAGCAATTAACAGAAAACAACAAAGCTTAACATAATTTATCGAAGCAAGTCTTGAACAAGTTATTTGGGCAGAACCTAGTTTTTCCAGTCATTTTGCTTATTTGCATGCCAGTGCCTACAACATACAAAACCAGATTAGCAAGAGTTAAGATGAGCATTGCATGTGAAGTCAAAAACTTGTAAGAGCTTCCAGTATCTTCTAATCAAAGGGCTATCATTTTGGTTCCTCTGAAATAAGCTTTGTGCCTTGGTGATGCCATCCACAGCAGGTTAAACAAGATATTATCCAATAACATAGTTTAGAATACCAATGCTGAAATAAAAATGCCATGTTTGTCCCAAACAAGAAAGCCCAAAACCTGAACAGGTAAGGGCCAGAAATACAACTAACTACTAGTCACATGGACACCGAGTCTGTTCTGTACTTTTGTTACTAAAACACCTCATCAGTGCCGCACAACTAGTCAGAAGCAGGTTATTCATGAGAACTCCTCTAAATTCTCACAGTTTATCAGCAAAGTTTCACACATTCCTGTATGACTGAGGACCGTGGACAGTCCTCTTCTGAAAGGGCGTTTTGCAAAGGCAAAGGATGAA